TTATTATTTAATTATTTTATTTATTATTTATTATTTATTGATATTTTTTATATTTTTTATGTTTTTAGTGGACTCCTGTGCAAATTTTTTTTGCTGCTAAATTCTTTGAGGTAAATTTAGTAAAAATACATCTAGTCGTAATACTCGTAATACATGTAGTCGTATTCCTCTAACTCTTTTATTCTATCTTTTATTCTATCTTTTATTCTATCTTTTATTCTTACGAATCTTTTTTTTTAAAAGATTGACTCTTCATGGATATACGTTGTCTTTGTTATAGGTAAAATTCACACTTCTATAACACTATAACAATTATAACAATTATAACAATTCGTCTAACTCTAATATAACTCTAATCAAACTATTTCAAAAAAGGAGTCCACTTTGGTGGATTAGGTAACGCTATCCAATATATAATGAACGAGGGTTGGCATCCTCGTAATGTCGATTCAAACGTGAGCTGGTCCTTTGCAGAGTCACCCTCTCATTTCCTCAAACGTTTTTATCCCAGTTCTCGAAACATGCACGTCCCATCATCCATGTCATCACATCCATCATCTTCACGTCCACCATCCTCATCAACAGTTTCAATCGGTGTTAGAAATTCTCAACAAACTATCAACAATAAGATGAATAATAATAATCGCAACAGTAATAATAATAACAATCATAACGCTTTTTATTCTAATCGTCATCACCATTCATCATCGACAATTTCCAGTCCGCATTTTTGTGCGCACAAGACTTTTGACAAATATGGAACAACTAATTCTATAGGTAGTGATTTTTTGAACAATGCAAATAGTAGCAATAATAGTGTAAAAGAGTTAAATTATAACCTATACAATATTGAAATTAACATTGACACTGATAATTTTGTGGCTGAAAGTGAGATAGCATTAAGTAAGGTGAAGATTAAAGAAAAATAATACATTAGTAATATTTCTTGAAGTAGTGAAATAGTGATCGGGGGAATAGTAAAAAAAACTTTATGAACATTTCTAATGAACATTTCGAAAGATGAACATTTCTAAAGATGAAAGCGATGAACATTTCTAAAGATGAAAACGACGAACATTTCTAAAGATGAAAGCGATAAACATTCCTAAAGATGATTCCTAAAGATGATTGAATTTTAGCATTAGCATTTGTAACATTTGTTTATCTGATGTTTTTTTTTGGTTTCTTGTATCTGATGCATGTAAATTTCAATTTGTATAAACCAATATATATTTCATTACATTTTATTGCATTTGTTATACCTTTATTACTTTATTGCATTGGTTACACTTTTATCACTTTATTACATTTGTTACACTTTTATCACTTTATTACATTGTTACACTTTATTATACATTTATTTTCTTTGTTTCAATCGTGTATTACATCGATAACTAATTCTCCTTTCTGTGATAAACCATTATTTATTATTTAATAACCTGCAAAAATGATGGGATCTTAATCGACGAATCTGCGATCCTCTGTTTTCAGTCGGTCTGTGTTTGAGTCACATATCACAACATGACAAAACATCCGGTATTTGTGCAGATTCGCTAATTAATGCTGTAATGTCGATTAACATGACTAATACGACCATTTTACTAGTTTACTTTTTTTAATTTCACAAATTAATGTGTATCTTGTATATCTGGTAAAAAGTTTCAATTCCGATATACTTATGTATACATTAATAATTAACTTTAATTTTTTTTGTATCAAAAGACAATGATTCGTTTCATTAAATCAAATGCTAATTTGGATACGTTAAATAATTGTATCTCGTTACACTAGAATTAATTATATTCTTACTTGTTACGCTTCATGTAAAACCTGTTTGGTAAATCAAAAATCTCTTTACCTATACGTAAATCAGGATGTGAGAAATCTACTTTCGTACTTTTTAATACCAATCTGGTTAATCTTGTAACTTACATATATGTACATATAATATAGCGCAACAGCTAATATTATTGTTACATCAACATTTCCCTTCAAAATATAAATGTTATCCTAACCAAAAAAATTTTTACAAAATCAAGTCTCTTCTACTTACTTTGTAAGTCTTTGATAGACTCGAGAAAACAAAGTTGTTGAGAGTATCACATTCTTACCAAATGATAATTCTTTGATAAAATACTTCTTTTTTTTTCTCAACATTTTGTTATATCATTTTATTGTCACGAATTAAAAAGTGACATTTCCAAAGAAAATTTTTGACGAAGCCACAAACATCGAGGCTAAGAAAATACCCAATTACGTTAACTTTTCCTAAGCTTTGATAGCCTTTTTCTTTTTGAGAAAAACCACCGCTTTTTTATATATAATACATTATCACGTACTATATCAAAAATGGTAGTGATTAAATATTTATTTGTCTTGGCATTTTGCTTATTTTTTGAAATTGTTTATGGAGGTATAAATCGAGACTATATGCTCCAACTAGTTAATGATGCGCGTAGTAATTCAGGTGCACCTCCACTTAAAATGGATAGGTAAATTTTATGAATTTGTATTGTTTATATAATATGTATTGCAATATTATATACATATATATTTTTGATCTCTTGCAGTATAGGTGAATCTCTTTAATAAACCTTATTATTAATCAACTTGATTATGTAAAAATGATTATATAAAGTTGATTATAAAGTGGGATCACCTATACTTACTGCAAGAGATCTCATATTTTCTTTTTTTTTTTTTAATTACATAATTCATTTTAATTTTTCTATACTAGATATATAAATATACTATGTATACTAATATAGTTTTTTTTTTTTCAGTCGTCTCAATGGTGTGGCTCAACATCACAGTGAATATATGAGAAGAGTTGATACTTTAACACATGATGATGAAGATGGTGATTTTCCGACCAGAGTTACTGAAACTGGTTATGATTGGAATGCACTTGGGGAAAATATAGCTAGTGGATTTCCGAATGAGGATGCGGTTATGAATGGGTTATTATTATTATTATTATTATTATTAATTTTTCGTATTTGTTTTTCGTATTATTTTTTAACAGGATTTTTAAAATTTATTCTTTATTAAATACTATAGATGGATGAATTCTCCACCACATAGAAGTAATATTTTAAATCCAAATTTTGTGGATTGTGGTTTTGGACGTTCTGGTAGTTATTGGACTCAAGACTTTGGTCGTACATTTGAAGAAGATTCGGACCAAAGTTCTGACTGGGATCAAAGTTCTGACTCGGATCAAAGTTCTGATTCGGATCAAAGTTCTGATTCGGATCAAAGTTCTGACTCGGATCCTGTTCAAAGTTCTGACTCGGATCAAAGTTCTGATTCGGATCAAAGTTCTGATTCGGATCAAAGTTCTGATTCGGATCAAAGTTCTGACTCGGATCCTGATCAAAGTTCTGACTCGGATCCTGATCAAAGTTTCGAATAGGATTCTGACAAAAGTTTCTAACCAAAGTGCAAGTGTGATTCTTGATAAATATTGGAAATTCTGTGAAAAATGTTACGTGGTTTTTATTTTATTTTATTTATTATTTATGATTTTTGCATTTATTATTAGAAATTGAATTAATTCGTTGTAAATCGTGTAAAGCTTTATTTAATTCACGTTTGTTTTTTTTATATCCTCTTAAATTGTAAATTTGGGTTATTATTATGTAATTTTTGTTTACGATTTTATTGTAATTTTATGTAATAATTCAAAATGTTCTCAAAAAATTGTTAAAATTCATGAATTTATCAATTTATCTAAACAAAAATTAATCATTATAATTAATTGTTGAAGCTGGAAATTAGGTATCTCGATTTAAAAATATAAAACCCTACCAAAATCAACTTACATATATAACCTAACTATCAGATTGGTAAAAAAATCCCTAAACAGGATCCTTTTTTGTTATCTCCGCTAATATTGAAGTTTTTTTTATAAATCTATATATACTGTACTGTTTTTGCAATGCGTCATTTAATGATTTACAAAATGATCCCGTATGATTGTTTCGTAGTGCAGGGTGGAGTTGTGTTTATCGTGCGCCAGAATTACCTTGACGGTTAATACGGTTAAACGGTTAAGCGTTTAAGAAAATTTTAGGCGGCTCAAATCATTAAAATAAGTCCAATTTTCAGCTTCAGGGCCTTAGTCAATGGGTCAAAAGATGTCGGTGAATAAATTTTACTTAGCGGAAATACTTTAAGCGGGCCAAGCAGGGACGTGGGGATTCTGTGATTTACGGGAAGATTAAGGAATCATTATTTATAAAGTTTATAAATAATGATTCCTTAATCTTCCCGTAAATCACAGAATCCCCACGTCCCTGGGGCCAAGTGTGTTTGTCATTGTGATGAATATTTAAATAATAAACGTAATTTGATAAAGTTTATTGCGTGAATACAATATTTTTATTAGTAAAAAAAACGTTGAGTTATTTACAAACATTTTGCCGTAAACTTGTCAAAATTTACAATTAATTGAGTATTCAAAAAGATTATTCAAGTAACTTTGTCATCATCAACGAATTATTTTTTTATTATTACACCAAAAGTTTTTATGAGCAATAAAAAAATACCAGAAAATCCAAAAAGAAATACGGATTTTACCACTTTTTGCCAGCAACAAATTTTACTATTTCGTCAATAATTTCTTAAATATCAACGAAGACCTAAACCTAGTGGCGACAACATTTGATAAATAATGAATCTCTCAAGTATCAATTGCAATTTTTATTTAATCGCATTGAGAATAACGTTTGAGAAATGTTCGATTATATCATAATTTGCATATTCAATTTGTTATCAAAAATTTTATACAAATATAATTATAGTTGTGCACTATTACGATCACTAGCTAATAACATCGGAATTGAGGTTAAACAAACTGGGGGTTTTTTTTGAAGCATATAATTTATTTATATACGTAGTTGTAATTCAATATAATATATATTTTCAAAAGGTTGGCTTAAATAATTCTTTTTAATAAAATAACTCGTAAGGTTAATACACAGTAAAACGTATGATTGGGTTTGAAAGATTCTGGGTGAAACAAAGCTAAAAGCTATGTAAAAGAATTTTTAAATATCTTAGTATACCTTAGTCTAATTATACTTCATATACTTTACAATTCTATTTTAAACTATTTTTACGATTTGAGTTCTATTGGAGAGTTCAAAATTAAACCCTATTTTAGTGAAACATGACGTATTTGTTTTGTTAAATAAACTATAGATTTATTTTCAGTTCAAGTTTCAAATATACCCTATGTTTAAACTACATACAACGACTATTATGTGCATAAATGAATTTAAATTTTATTTCATGAAATGGGGATCATCAGGCATTCATTCTCTTATTTGGCCCTTCGTGATCACAAATTCGATTTTTTAAGCTCCTATACTTATTTTTGAAATCTTTTGATTCTGAAACTCCATTATTTTCAAATTTCTTAATTTTAGTAATTATTATTGTATCATCATTTATAACATATCGATATTACTGTATTACGCTACTTGTTATATTCAATTACGTATTAGTTAAAGTTGAGCGGCGAAGTCGCCCACATAAGCTATTTTTGGTTATTATATTCAATAATATTCCATTACTACTATCATTAAAGTAAGTTTGTTTCTTCTATGTCTTTACGTTTAATTGGCTCACCTTCATAATAGATATATTTCGAAACCTGAAATTATATATTAATCTGAAAGTTATCACTGTGAATGAACTTACGATACAATATTCCGAATGATCCGTGTCCAATAATCTTAAACTCAACGGTTCTCTCACTGCCTCTAACTATAATAAATCACATTTCATTATCGGTCGAAAATTTTTGAAAAAGTTTGTTTTAGATACATATCAAATAAATTTTCTGTTAGGCCTTCGATAGTATCATCAATTGGTATTACATGAATACGTTTTCCATCTTTAATATCGTTAAAGGGATAAATCAATAATACGTCGCCAATATGTACAGTAAGTGAAGATTATTTCACACGACTATTAATATCGTAAGTTCATTTCGTAAACCAGATCTTATAAACAAGAATAAATAAAATGATTACCTTTATTAATTTTCGCTTTTTTATAGTCACGGGAATCATTAACCAAAACAATTAATACAGTATCGTGTCCATTTTTTCCTTTGACTAATACAGTATCACCATGGAAATGCCCTAACTTTCTCATAGTATATATAGAAATTGTTATTATTGAGTTATCGTCATGTGTCATAAACTCATCTACAATTAGCACATTATCCGTAAGTCCATTTTGTTTCGATTTTTCTAGTTAATATACTATATTATAAATTCATAAAATTATAAGGATTTAACTAACTTACCCTCTGGTTAAAATTATTATTATTTTTTTTTTGGTGTTAAGGTGAGGCCTTGCTCATATCTTTATTAATAATTTTTTAAATAGTTACAATGTAAATTACTACAGCGCAGTTACCGAGGCTTCCACTTGTGGTCAGGGCTAACCATTAAACCACTATATGTAGGGATTTACAAAGCTACTACTATTTGTACCAGTACAAATAAAGTTAAAATTACATGCAAGAATAAGAGCTCAGACAGGGAAAAATTTATCTGTAACCTAAACCTACTAGAGTGGCCCTCTGGTTAAAATTATAAATTTTAACCAGCTATAATTTATTATAAATTTTTATTTTTAAAATTTAAACCTAAAATTAAAATTAGAGTCAAGATTAGGTTTAGAATAAAATTTAAGCTAGAATAAGGTTTTTTAGAGTACTGAACATTTTTGCTTAATGTATCAAACATGGTTATTTAGGTTATTTTTTGTGTTATAATAAGAGGGTGGTTATGTTAACCAGGGGACAAGTTAGCAATATCCAACATAAAAATTGATTTTCTGAAGATCTCTTTTTTGTTGATTTTCCTTTTTTTTTTTGCAGCACTTAACCCAAATATATATAACAAATTTCTATATGTTCTATTTCAAATTATCATAAGGTTTATATAATTCAAAATTGTTATCAGTTTATTATAATTTACTATTATTTATTTAGTGCTTATTTTATATTAATTATAAAATATTAGTAGGTTTAAATATATTTTTAATATTCATTGTTGCTCACTTTTCCGAAGTCCACCTTCCTGAAATGCTATTTCACCAACTCCCTAATTCTGATATTCCTTTTTTCTCAACAAATCTTATTTCTGTTAACTTAGTTCACCGACAGTTTATTTCACTGATAGTTTATTTCATCGACAATTTTTCACCAAAAAGTAATTCCGGTTATTTTCGTTAGGGTCAGTTTAGAATTAGAACAATATTTTTTTTTTAAAAAAAAAAAACTTAGTCGATGAATTAATTGTTGGTGAAATAAACTTCTCTGTGAATTGATTGTTGGTGAAACGATATGGATCCAATTATGTCCTGTTAATAAAATGGATTTTCGGTATTTTCGACTTTGGTGAAATGGTATTTCAGAAAAAAATGGACTTCGGGAAATTAACCCGGAACCTTTAATATTAGGAAATTCTGTTTTGACCTGGGTCAAAATAGCCCTCAGCAAAATTTTAGGGTTAGTACATGCCAGAATTATGTTGATGCCGGCCAGGGTTTTTTTAAAATAAAAACATGACCGGCATTATAGCTGTTTTCATAATTTCTGGGACACCTGTAAAAAAATTAGCCGGTTAATTTATTATTTCGGTATAATAGATTTAATAAAATTCGGTACGTGCGTACGTACGTACCAATTTTTATGAATCTATAATACTGAAATAATAAATTAACTGGCTAATTTTTTTACAGGTGTCCCAGAAATTATGAAAACATCTGTAACATAATTCTGGCCGTGCTAACCCTAAATTCTAAGAGGGGGTCATTTTGACCCGGGTCAAAATAGAATTTCCTTTAATATTATATAAGGTAGTTGTGTGACACTGTCGTGCAACACCAGAAACATAAATTTATCAATGAGCCAGAGATTTTATGCAATATATCAGCTTTTTCAGACTGGTTCTAATAATTGCAAATCATGTTCTACATGTGAAAGTGAATTTTTAACCAATAATATAGTATTTTTCATAATTTTTCGCTTGCTATATCTATATTCACAATCACTAATCAGGCAATAATTAGGTGGTTATAATATTGGCATAATCTACAAATTTAATATGTTGCAAACCACAATAGATCACAAATCTACATACTATTGAAATTATGGATCACCTGCTGTTGAAATTACAAATCTATCCTCTACTAAATCGTAAACCTTCTATTAAAGTTTCAAATCCATTCACTATTAAAATGTTAAAATTGAATTTTCAATGAAATAGTTTATTAATTATTTGATATAAAAGTTATGCCATAATTTTTTGATAAAAAATCTGCCATATACAAATTAAATGAAATTCGACATATTTTTAATCCCATTAGATATTAACCACCCAATGCTTTATG